CGTGCAGCACTGCTTCCTCAAGTTCAGGTGTTCTCACACTTATAGGTCGACCTTCAGATGTTCCTTTTCGGATAGAACCAGTTTCAACAAGACTCTGAAATAACCAACAGCCCCCAATACCATTCCTTCCAACAGTGGGGTACACATGCGTTCCCATAGAAAATTGAGAATCTTATCTTAACCTCGCGGCCTTTTCACCATTTCACGGTCATCGGGCAGCCCCAAACAGGATCTGGAACCATCACTTAAGACAAAGGTATTCGGTTCGAGGTCCCAGTTCAGCCGTTTTCTGCAGCAAACCAGTTCCCCACTCCGGTGCCTAGGAGTGAAAGGTAGGACCAATTTGGAACGTAATGAAGCAAGTCCAAAACTGTTGATCTGAATATAAGCAATTTCCATTTTAATAGGCTTTCCATGCTCTCCACGCCAATGTTCCGCGCCGTTGACTTTGTGGAGGAAAAGCGGTCCCGTAGAGCCAAACAGCCAAAAGCCTAAGGCGGCCGTTCTTCTGACGTCCCTGTACTTCTAACTCTTCGTGCATGGTCTTCATGTTCGTAAAACAACATACCACCTATACTTCTGTGGACCCAGGTGGATACTTCTTTAAAGTGTCAACCAACCTCACACAAGCCCATTATCTGCCCCAGACCAAACTCGCTAAGCTTTCGAAGATTCTCTCGTTTTCTCACTCTAGGCATAGTGAACAGCTTAAATCAGCTCTTCACAACGTATTGTATGATAATCAAATGCCAATTGTAGCTACAAAACACAACTGTCGCTCCCTATGTTTGAAGAGCTGATCGTTTTGTGTCCAAACCTAAACAAACATTAACCTAGAAAATCTTTGTAATAAATTCATTATTACTGGGAAAAGAACATACCACCTATACTTCTGTGGACCCACGTGGACCCTTCTTTGAAGTGTCAACCAACCTCACACAAGCCCATTATCTGCCCCAGACCAAACTCGCTAAGCTTTTGAAAATTCTCTCGTTTTCTCACTCTAGGCATAGTGAACAGATTAGATCAGCTCTTCACAAGTATGGTGATCAAACGCCAATTGTAGCTACAAAACACAGCTGTCGCTCGCTATGTTTGAAGAGCTGATCGTTTAGTGTCCAAACATAAACAAACATATACCTAGAAAATTTTTGTAATAAATTCATTATTACTGGAAAACAACATATCACACTGGACAACAAATATTACTTTTTTAACTGTATCTTGTGGGAAAAGTGCACTTCTTTGTTAATTTTGGGGCGCTGAATCCAAAAATGACAATGAAATAAAAAAATTAGTTGCTGTTTAGAAAAATAACTTTTTATTTTTAAGGATATATTAAAAAAAGTAACAAGATTCATATATTTATAAGAATCACTATATGCGCTGTCTTTTTGCTGTTCTCTTATGGATCGTTTCTGGAGCATCTGTACCAAGAGTCCAACAGTAGTCTGCAAGCATGGAAGGATTCCACTTTCCCTGGTACCTTTTTTCCATTGTTGAAATATCCTGATGAAAACGTTCGCCGTGCTCATCACTTACGGCTCCGCAATTGTCAGGAAAAAAGTCCAGGTGTGAGTGTTGGAAATGTATCTTAAGAGAAATATTACAGCCCATCTTTTGATACGATGACAGCATATTTTTGACAAGGGTTTTATAGTTGTCAGCTTTTCTATTTCCCAAGAAATTAGTGACCACCAGACGGAAATCATTCCAAGCAGTTTTTTCAATACCTGTTAAAGTGTTTTCAAACTGTGTATCTTTCAAAATATTTCGAATCTGTGGCCCAACCAAAATACCTTCTTTAACCTTTGCCTCACTTAGTCTTGGAAATTTCTGACGCAGGTATTGCAAAGCTGACCCATCTCTATCTAATGCCTTGACAAAGTTTTTCATTAGGCCCAACTTGATATGCAGTGGTGGTAATACAATTTTTTTCGAATCTACTAATGACATATGCTGTACATTTTTTTGACCTGGCTCTAGGAATTGACGAACATGCCAGTTTTGTCTGGTGTAATGTGCCTTTGCCCGACTGTCCCATTCACACAAAAACCAGTAAAACTTTGTGTAGCCTAGCTGCAGCCCAAGTAAAAGTGCAACAACTTTCAAATCGCCACAAATATGCCATTGGTGCTCATCGTATTTTATGCATGTCAATAGGTACTTCATATTGTCATATGATACTTTCATGTGAACTGCATACCCTACAGGAAGAGATGGTAAAATGTTTCCAATATGCAATAACACTGCCTTTAAACTCAATGTTGAGCTGTCTATAAACAATCTCCATTCTTCTGGGTTATAGTTTATATTTAAAGCCGCCAGTAAGCCGTTAATGTTACTGCAGAAAACCAAGTTATTCTCCATATTGAAAAATGGTTCTAAGTCTTTGTGGCGTTTACGAAAAACACATACCGAAACATCGTCTTCTCACAAGTTCCACTGCTGCAGTCTTGATCCAAGTAACTCTGCCTTACATTTTGGAAGTTCTAAATCTCTTACAAGATCATTTAATTCTGACTGTGTTATTTTCTGCGGTTGGTGGCATGACGTGCTCGGTATAAAATCAGGATCTCTTGACGTTGATGGCATATCTTCTTCCTGACGAATCACTCGATCGCCATGATCTGATTCGTTTTCTGATTCGCAAGTGTAGGATTCTGGGGGTTTTGGAATAGGATTTTCGTCACTGTGAGGCACAGGTCTCATCGCAGATGGTATGTTTGGGTAGTTAATAACCAATTTTTTTTTTTTGTCTTGGACATACCTGTGGCTTGTCCAACACAAGGTACCATGCAAAAGTAACAATCATAAATATGATTTGTAGGCTCTCTCCAAACCATTGGGACAGCAAAGCGCATAGACCGTTTTTTTGCCATTTAACCAGCTCCTCTGACTTGAAGCACATGTATTACAGCAGATGTGGGGTGTCCACTGTTTGTCTTGATCACCTAGTTTACAACCGAAATAAAGCTGATATGCCTTTGTTATTAGTGGAGCAATAGACCGTCTCTGAGACCCAAAAGTCACATCACCTCACACGTAACAAAACTGATCTGGATTGTTTACACACTTTCGAGACATCTTGCATGAACGCTGTCAGCCAACTAAGGAAAAAATGGCTAATATAAAACAATATAATGTACACGTATGTATAACGTAACACAATCATGCCGATTAACACTGTCACAGCAGGAACACATATAATTACCGTATCTCTAAAACTTGAACTAATATTGAAAAAATAAGTTTCATTCCGGTTTTAGCACATTAAAAATAGTAATATTTTGTTGATTTTATTTAGGATATTTTTTGGCTGTTGATCAGTATCACCTATACTTCTGTGAACCCAGGTGGATACTTCTTTAAAGTGTCAACCAACCTCCCACAAGCCCATTATCTGCCCCAGACCAAACTCGCAAAGCTTTTGAAAATTATCTCGCTTTCTCAATCTAGGCATAGTGAACAGATAAAATCAGCTCTTCACAAAGTATTGTGTGATGATCAAACGCCAATTGTAGCTACAAAACACAACTGTCGCTCGCTATGTTTGAAGAGCTGATCGTTTTGTGTCCAAACCTAAACAAACATATACCTAGAAAATCTTTGTAATACATTCATTATTACTGGGAAAACAACATACCACCTATACTTCTGTGGATCCAGGTGGATACTTCTTTAAAGTGTCAACCAACCTCACACAAGCCCGTTATCTGCCCCAGACCAAACTCGCTAAGCTTTTGAAAATTCTCTCGTTTTCTCACTCTAGGCATAGTGAACAGACTAGATCAGCTCTTCACAACGTATTTTATGATGATCAAATGCCAATTGTAGCTACAAAACACAACTGTCGCTCGCTACGTTTGAAGAGCTGATCGTTTTGTGTCCAAACCTAAACAAACATATACCTAGAAAATCTTTGTAATAAATTCAGTATTACTGGGAAAACAACATACCACCTATACTTCTGTGGACCCAGGTGGATACTTCTTTAAAGTGTCAACCAACCTCACACAAGCCCATTATCTGTCCCAGACCAAACTCGCTAAGCTTTTGAAAATTCTCTCCTTTTTGTCACTCTAGGCATTGTGAACAGATTAGATCAGCTCTTCACAACCTATTGTGGGATGATCAAACGCCAATTGTAGCAACAAAACACAACTGTCGCTCGCAATGTTTGAAGAGCTGATCGTTTTGTGTCCAAACCTAAACAAACATATACCTAGAAGATCTTTGTAATAAATTCATTATTACTGGGAAAACAACATACCACCTATACTTCTGTGGACTCAGGTGGATACTTCTTTAAAGTGTCAACCAACCTCACACAAACCCGTTATCTGCCCCAGATCAAACTCGCTAAGCTTTTGAAAATTGTCTCGTTTTCTCACTCTAGGCATAGTGAACAGATTAAATCAGCTCTTCACAACGAATTGGATGATGAGCAAACACCAATTGTAGCTACAAAACACAACTGTCGCTCGCTATGTTTGAAGAGCTGATCGTTTTGTGTCGAAACCTAAACAAGCATATACCTAGAAAATCTTTGTAATAAATTCATTGTTACTGGGAAAACAACATACCACCTATACTTCTGTGGACCCAGGTGGATACTTCTTTAAAGTGTCAGCCAACCTCACACAAGCCCATTATCTGCCCCAGACCAAACTCGCTAAACTTTTGAAAATTGTCTCGTCTTCTCACTCTAGGCATAGTGAACAGAGATTAGATCAGCTCTTCACAACGTATTGTATGATGATCAAACGCCAATTGTAGCTACAAAACACAACTGTCGCTCGCTATGTTTGAAGAGCTGATCGTTTTGTGTCCAAACCTAAACAAACATATACCTAGAAGATCTTTGTAATAAATTCATTATTACTGGGAGTTCTGTTTCTGTGTCACTTAGTATATTTGAAAGGAATAGTGAATGTGAAAACCCCCACCAGACGTATATCCCAGTGTGAACCACCGTGTATTAGTATTCCAATCAAAACATATTTGCACAAACGTGAAGCTCTGCGGGGAAAAGAAAATCACCGGCTTCTGTGTTCATGAGGTATATAAAAGCTTACATTTAAATAAGACGGTGCATTCGCAAACAGCTACAATCATGTTGAAGAAGTTTATGATATTGGCAGTTGCCTTTTTGGCTGTATCAGCGCTTGAAGAACCAGGAGAAGGTAAGTATCAATAATTCCATGTTATAATAACTTAGCGTATTTGTATCAAAGCTGCTAATTTATTTTTCATTTAGTTATAGTTTTGTAAGGACGACCAAGTCAGGATATTTCCACTTCTTGGAAAGTACCGTACCTTCTTGGTGGAGAAAGTTTTAATTAAAGAATGGTCGCAAGTAGACTTGGACGTTCAACATTATAACAGTGAAATGATAATAAAAATGATGCTTTCAACAAAGAACTTTTTAGGATCAATAAATTTGTACAAAAATATGCTTTGTTAGTTGTATCACCATATTTATCTTAAAAAAGTTAAGTTAAATGCATTCTTTTTATTATTATACATTTTACTGTAATTTAACTATCAAAATATCATGCTACACTTGATGTTACCCCAAAATACCTAGACACACTCTATTTATAATGGGTGATTTTTTTTGCTAGTATCTTTTTGATAACACTGTATTTGACAGATGACGCGTGATTCGTGTCTTGTGTCATTGTCAAACTTGTTCAGTTTGGACTATAATTTAACCATGAATCGACTTATGAACGAACAACGCTTGCAAATTATTGAATTTTACTATCAAAATTCATGCTCGGTTAAGAGAGTGCATCGAGCACTGCTTCCAATTTATGGGCAATTTGGTCGGCCTACTGAGGGAGCTATTCGGAAGCTTGTGACTAAATTTCGAAGCCAGCTTACATTATCGGACATTAAACCACCAACACCCAGACGTAGAGTGAGGACTGAAGAAAATATTGCGGCTGTATCCGCCAGTGTTAGTGATGACCGTGAAATGTCGATTCGCCGCCGTTCGCAGCAATTGGGCCTCTGTTACTACGTGGAAAATTTTGCGACAGGATTTGGGTGTAAAACCTTATAAGATACAGCTGGTGCAAGAATTGAAGCCACACGACCTCCCACAACCTTTCCAATTTGGTGAATGGGCGCTGGCAAAGTTGGAGGAAGATCCACATTTTTATCGAAAAATTGTGTTCAGCGACGAAGCTCATTTCTGGTTGAATGGGTACGTTAACAAGCAAAATTGCCGCATCTGGAGTGAAGACCAGCCAGAAGCATTGCAAGAGCTACCAATGCATCCCGAAAAAAACACTGTTTGGTGTGGATTATGGGCCGGTAGCATCATCGGGCCGTACTTCTTCAAAGACGACAATGGCCGGAACGTAACTGTGAATGGCGAGCGCTACCGTGCGATGATAACAAACTTTTTTTGCCCAAAATGGAAGAGCTGGACTTGGCTGACATGTGGTTTCAACAAGGCGGTTCCACATGCCACACCGCACAGGAAACAATGGCCCTATTGAGAGGCGAGTTCGGTGAACAGTTTATCTCACGTTTGGGGCCCGACAATTGGCCGCCTAGATCGTGTGATTTAACGCCGTTGGACTATTTCTTGTGGCGCCATGTTAAGGCTAATGTCTAGAGGGATAAACCAGCAACGATTGACGCTCTGGAAGCCAATATTGAAGCATTTATTTGTGAGATACCGGCCGATATGTTGGAGAGAGTCTGCCAAAATTGGACCTTGCGCTTGGGCCATTTTAAAATTTTTTGTTTTTTTAAAATCAAATCCTATACCTCTTGAAAAACCACCCTTTACACATGAAAATCTACAATATAAATAATTTTATGTTTATGTGCAAATTGTGGACAAGGGATATTAATGATTAAAATTTTGATCACAATTTATAAAAATAAAAATTTTGATTATGTTTCTCCATTGGTATTTCTTAATATTTTAGTCAAAGCTTCTTTTCTCCATAACATAATAACAAAATAGCATGGGTAAAAACCTGTATTTTTTAGTGAAGATGTGCTGTCAAATCTGGCACCTGAATGTGACTGAATTTCGACCCTTCGATTTAATATCGATGTCCCCTTGCCGTCATCCATGTCATCGTCCATAACTTGAAGTGGCATAACTCATTTTTTCCAATTCTGCAGGAGAGCGTTTTATATATTCTCACTAGATTTGAGTTGTTGCTAAGAAAAAGGCATTATTGCTACATTTTACAATTTGTTCATGTTTATTTCGTAATTCATAGAGTCGTAATTCATAGAATAAAGGCTTAGTTATGTCCGCGTTATATTAAAGTGATGAAAAATAAAAACACATGAAATTTAAAAAAAATGTTTATTACAAGACAAAATGTATACAGTGAATATTATTGCGAAATAAGTATCCGCTGTGTCTAAAACTATTTAACTCCCTATTAAAGTAACTATGGCAGCACAAACAAAAGATTCACTCAAATAATAATGATATAATAATATCTCTTAAAATACTAGTTTCAAACGGTTTCAAATTTGATTATGCTAGAACTCATTATTCTGCCAAAATATGTGTACGTTTGAGTTGACAGTGACAGCATTATACAAAAGTGACTGGATGATTAGAATGTGAAAAACAAGTTTTTCCGGATTTCACAATATCTGTATCCTGCATATAATACGTCTCAAATTTATCAAAAAAGTTTTTTCTGAACTTCGTCTCCTCTGAGAAAATGTTTGATTGCGATCAAAATCAGAAACGAAAAAAAAGTTATAGATTTTTTCATAATACTGGTATCATTAGATATGCCTTTGAAAATGTCTTTACAATCCAGTGATATTTTCCAAGTTATAGAAGAACCAATGATTAAATAAGTTTAATCTGTCATAAGAGGACCGATAAACAAAATCTATAAATATGTTTCTGTCTGTACTAGGGCTGGCCTAAGGACCGAAACAAAAACAACACTCGAACAAAATATAGCCCGCTTAATGGAAACAAGAGTTGTTTTTATTTTTCAGGTTTTCTAAAATACAAACACAACATAAACTCAACAGTCCGTTTAATGGAAAATCGCTTTAATGTTCTATCTAAATTTTATAAGGACATAACCGCGAGACCTGCCTTAACACCACATAAACATAGTTCCATCCATTTCAACTAATATATCCTCTGACAAAAATACATCGAAAGGACCCGCCTACACACTAGCAGAGTATTTGTATCTATTATCTACGAGGCATGTTTTTAAAGTAATTACCGTTTTGACATAAAAAAAACAAGTAAACTTTGTCCAAAAATATATTATTCACTTGAAAGGCCATACTTTACTCTACTTTTCTACGTAATTCCCATTACTATTGAGGCATTTATCGTATCTTGGGACCAGCTTTTGTATGCCATCGTCAAAGAAGCTTGCCGCCTGAGTAGACAACCACTGCTTCACAGCCGTTTTCACTTCGTCATCATCGGAATGGCGCTGCCCCGCCAAATGCTTTTTCAAGTGCATAAACAAATGGTAGTCGCTCGGTGCTAGATCGGGACTGTATGGAGGGTGGTCCCATTGCTCCCAGCCAAAAGAAGTGATAAGGTCTTGTGTTCGATTTGCTGCGTGTGGACGGGCATTATCGTGGAGCAAAACGACACCTGCACTCAGCATGCCACGCCTTTTGTTTTGAATTGCGCGGCGCAGTTTTTGTAAAGTCTCACAGTACGCTACTGCATTGATCGTGTCGCCGCGAGTCAAAAAATTGACCAGCAACACACCTTTTCTGTCAAAAAACACAGTGCACATGATTTTCTGAGCAGAAATTGTTTGTTTGAATTTCACTGTCCTAGGGGATGATGAATGCCGCCATTCCATTGATTGCTGCTTCGATTCCGGTGTAACGTAGGCTACCCATGTTTCATCGCCTGTGACAATATGGCTTAGAAAATCATCTCCCTCGTTACTGTATCGTTCGAGAAAACTCAATGCACTGCCCAATCTTTTGGTTTTGTGCTCATCAGTCAACATTTTTGGCACCCAGCGTGAACACAATTTCCGGTAATTTAAACGTTCCGACACAATTTTGTAAAGAACACTTCTTGAGACAGCAGGAAACTTTTCAGCTAATGACGAAATCGTGAATCGTCTGTTCTCTTTCACTTTACAGTCTACCTTTTGAATCAGGTTATCGGTAATGACTCAAGGTCTCCCACGTCGTTCCTCATCATGAATATTTGTGCGCCCATCTTTAAAGGCCCGAACCCATTTCCGCACCATTCCATCACTCATAATGTTTCCACCATACACTGCACTGATTTGGTGATGGATGTCAACTGATTTGAAGCCTTGAGCACAGAGAAACCGTATTACAGCACGTACTTCGCAGTCGGCGGGATTCTCAAACGGTGGTGGCATTTTAAAATCACGCAAACAGATGTAAACCCGTTCGGATGCTTCCGTAATGGCGTCTGTGGCTTCCCAACAGATGCAGCTACACGACGCGCATGCACTAAACGGCGACCGCAGCGCTGCGGCGGCGTAATTTGAAAACGGTACTTACTTTAAAAACTTCCCTCGTATATATATTACCTAAAAAAATATTATTGGTTGATCATTCTGTGCTGAGAGCTACGTGTTTGGCTAATTATTTTTGCAGGAGGTGTCGCTAAACGATTCGTACGTTCAGAGTTTTTTTTTTGCTAAGTGAGATAAGAAATAAAATTCTCTTGGTTTGTATGATTCTAAGTCTTAGGAGCCGCCTTGAATTTTAAGGGACAATTAGGTCCTAAGATACATTTCCTCATCCATAACACGAAGTAACTTGAGTTGAGCTCCCTTGTGGAATTTAATTTCCTATTAAAATGAGATAAGTCTAATATTATTTTTCTATAACTCTGAAGGTATCAGAAACTGACCTATTCCACTTCGTGATATTGAAAAGCGACCTTTTTTAAGTAATAAAATCGACTTAACCCAATTTTCGTATTTTCTGAGATTCGCCACTTTGTGCTATTGGCGACGATGTGATGAAATTTCAGTATCCAAACGATCATAGCAGTTTCAAAATTACCATACACACAGTGTACAACAAATTTTACTATTTGATCAATTAAATATATTTGGAAAATCTGGCTTAGCTCATGTGATATTAGATAACTAAGTTAATGTTCATTCTTAGAAAAAGTCAAACGTGCGGAGAAGGGCAACATACACTACCACGTTCCGTGCATATCAAAACCATAATATCTGCATCATGAATATCCAAGTCACTCGTTTCAATTTATATGAACAGATGTATGCATTGGATTAATTTTTTTACCACAAGGTATTCAATTTTTAAGACATTTCAGACATACATTTCTTTTCATTTCCTATCTTCGAATGTACCTTAGATATTACTTAAATTTAAGATATAACAAGGCATACATATCTTAGTATAAGAAGATATTATATCATGCATTCAGTGACGTCCCTGCAAATATGTATTGTGATATGTTTTATAAAAAATGCTCATTATTCATAAATAGCCCCAAAAGAATAAATATCGCTACACATGTATATCAACTTTCACTCTAAGGTGCTCTTATAGCATGCCAATAATGAGTCATATCTAAACTGCTTTCGGAAATATAAAATAAATATAATTTTTCACTTAAAAGATCTGTAGTCATATTATAAAATTTAAGCCATTGCGAACTTATGTTCATATGAACATTTCTTCATAGAATAGGTGAAATCACTTCGTTTTTGAAAAACAGCTCATTCCCGGCGAAACTGCCCGCACGAATCGAAATAGCACATATTAACAGACAATGGGCTGTATTAGTAAGTATTCTACTTTTTCAGAGAGGGTAAAACGTGCTGACAAGGGAGGATATCTACCAAGGCCTACTGCACGTCCTGTATATGTCAAATCTAAACGCGATGTGGAGGAAGTCCAAACAGAGGAACTGGGTATGTATAAGGTCTAAAACGAGTCTGATTTCAGTTTTTATGAGCCCGTGTGTATTAACAAGTCAACCATTTTCTCAGAAAGGGTCAAACGTGCTGACAGGGGAGGATATCTACCAAGGCCTACTCCGCCACGTCCTGTACATTTCAAAGCCAAACGCGATGTGGAGGAGGTCCAAACAGAGGAACTTGGTATGTATAAGGCCTTAATCGATTCTGACTTCAGTTTCTATGAACCTATGTATATTAACAAGTCATTCATTTTCTCAGAAAGGGTCAAACGTGCTGACAGGGGAGGATATCTACCAAGGCCTACTCCGCCACGTCCTGTACATTTCAAAGCCAAACGTAATGTAGAGGAAGTCCAAACAGAAGAACTTGGTATGTATAAGGTCTCAATCGATTCTGACTTCAGTTTCTATTAGCCTATGTGTATTAGCAAGACATTTATTTTCTCAGAGAGGGTCAAACGTGCGGACAGGGGAGGATATCTACCAAGGCCTACTCCGCCACGTCCTGTACATTTCAAAGCCAAACGCGATGTGGAGGAGGTCCAAACAGAGGAACTTGGTATGTATAAGGCCTTAATCGATTCTGACTTCAGTTTCTATGAACCTATGTATATTAACAAGACATTTATTTTCTCAGAGAGGGTAAAACGTGCTGACAGGGGAGGATATCTACCGAGGCCTACTGCACGCCCTGTATATGTCAAATCAAAACGCGATCTGGAGGAAGTCCAAGCAGAGGAACTGGGTATGTATAAGGTCTAAAACGAGCCTGATTTCAGTTTTTATGAGCCCGTGTGTATTAACAAGTCATTCATTTTCTCAGAAAGGGTCAAACGTGCTGACAGGGGAGGATATCTACCAAGGCCTACTCCGCCACGTCCTGTACATTTCAAAGCCAAACGCGATGTGGAGGAGGTCCAAACAGAGGAACTTGGTATGTATAAGGCCTTAATCGATTCTGACTTCGGTTTCTATGAACCTATGTATATTAACAAGTCATTCATTTTCTCAGAAAGGGTCAAACGTGCTGACAGGGGAGGATATCTACCAAGGCCTACACCGCCACGTCCTGTTCATATTAAAGCCAAACGCGATGTGGAGGAGGTCCAAACAGAGGAACTTGGTATGTATAAGGCCTTAATCGATTCTGACTTCAGTTTATATTAGCCTATGCGTATTAACAAGACATTTATTTTCTCAGAGAGGGTCAAACGTGCTGACAGGGGAGGATATCTACCAAGGCCTACACCGCCACGTCCTGTTCATATTAAAGCCAAACGCGATGTGGAGGAGGTCCAAACAGAGGAACTGGGTATGTATAAGGCCTTAATCGATTCTGACTTAAGTTTCTATGAGCCTATGTGTATTAGCAAGACATTTACTTTCTCAGAGAGGGTCAAACGTGCTGACAGGGGAGGATATCTACCAAGGCCTACTCCGCCACGTCCTGTACATTTCAAAGCCAAACGTAATGTAGAGGAAGTCCAAACAGAAGAACTTGGTATGTATAAGGTCTCAATCGATTCTGACTTCAGTTTCTATTAGCCTATGTGTATTAACAAGACATTTATTTTCTCAGAGAGGGTCAAACGTGCGGACAGGGGAGGATATCTACCAAGGCCTACTCCGCCACGTCCTGTACATATTAAAGCCAAACGCGATGTGGAGGAGGTCCAAACAGAGGAACTTGGTATGTATAAGGCCTCAATCGATTCTGACTTTACTTTCTATTAGCTTATGTGTAATAATAAGACATTGATTTTCTCAGAGAGAGTCAAACGTGCGGACAGGGGAGGATATCTACCAAGGCCTACTCCGCCACGGCCTGTACATTTCAAAGCCAAACGCGATGTGGAGGAGGTCCAAACAGAGGAACTGGGTATGTATAAGGCCTTAATCGATTCGGACTTAAGTTTCTATGAGCCTACGTGTATTAACAAGACATTTACTTTCTCAGAGAGGGTCAAACGTGCTGACAGGGGAGGATATCTCCCAAGGCCTACTCCGCCACGCCCTGTGCATGTCAGAGCCAAACGCGATGTAGAGGAGGTCCAAACAGAGGAACTTGGTATGTATAAGGTCTCAAACGATTCTGAATTCACTTCCTGTGAGCTTACGTCTAATAACTAAACATGTATCTTCTCAGAGAGGGTGAAACGTGCTGACAAAGGAGGATACTTACCTAGACCTACCCCTCCCCGTCCAGTGCATATGAAATTCAAACGAGATTTGGAGGAAGTTCAAACTGAGGAGTTAGGTATGAATCAGAAATCAACAGTCTCTATCAAACTTAAGTCATATCAGCTTACGTATTATTATCTGAATAACATGTGTTTCTCTTTCTTAGAAAGAGTTAGGCGCGCCGATAAACCTGGATATCTACCAAGGCCTACTCCGCCGCGTCCTGTGCACATCAGAAGGATTTAGAAGACGCATGGTAGGCTACCATACCGATCATCACCTGCCCCACAAAAAAAAACTTGCTAATGACCGACTACATCTTTTGTCAAGAACTGTATGAAATTCAGAAAGAAATTCAATCACACATGTATCTTGTTATTATTATAGATATTAGCTAGTAAGAATACGTTACGTTTATGAAAATAAATATTAAAAAGATGAACAGGTGTATATTTTATTAGTCCAGGGTAGTAATATTCCTGCGCATAGCCAAGGGGATAATTACCTCCACCACAAATTCAAATCGCTGTTGAATCTAATCTAGAATATAGTCAAATTCTGGTTCTACAAATCAATTGTTTAGTAGAGAGTATGAATGTGAGCTTATTTTGCGTATGGTTAGTAACTTATAAAGTATTATATAACTTTTTACAAGTATTAAGACCTTCAACGCTGCATCAATCTATCAACTGTTACTGAAGTCGTCTCCGGTGGAAGCATTAAAGACGGAGGCATTAGAGCCTCTCCTACATTTACGTACGAGTAGGTATATGCAAAGAAATTACTAGTCATTATTGGCGTGAGATAAACTCTTCTTGACTGTCCCGCCATTTATAAAGTAAACCCTAACCTCCTAACATCTATAAATCTAGTAATTCTACCCCAAAAGCACCTTTGCTGTGCTTTGCTTTGCTGTAATAGCAACATGTGTTATTTTTATGCTGCAAATTTGATTAGGGAGTGATAAAGTTGGTGTCTTCTACTATATATTATCAAAATATTCATTGTTATTATTTTAAACCTATAACACTCTGCTACATTTTTATTATTTGTGTTTGATAAGAAAAAAACTAAGATTTCAATAGTTGGGCCAGCTGAAGTGGGAAGGGGCTCGTATTTGCCCCGCATCTACTGCACCGATTTTCAAAAACTACAATGTCTTTTCACCCTTGTCATAGTAGTAGTCTTGTACGAAAATTCTGAGGGGTGCTTTCCATGTCAGAAGGGGGGCAAGAACTAGCAAAGCGAAAGACCCACGGACAGACGGACGGGGAAGAGTACCATGGCTTTCATATGACATCCAAAGAACGGTTTCGACATTTTTCGCGCTACAATACCTTCTCACCAGCGGCGTGGGAGGTAAAACGTATATTTCATACAATAAGACAGTGCTTCGTCCTACTTTACTGTAATACTACACTGGGAAGCTGGGATAGCGTGCTTGGTAACATTTGAGCAACAGATACGTTCATGCGGTCTAGAAAATTGCATGCACTCAGTTTCAAATGCAGCACATCAATCAAAAAGAAGCAGCAATTCCACTAATGACACTATAAACGAGACTGCTCACAATACATTTATCTGATGAAATACTATCACGATGTAAAGTAATTGCAAGAAATGCTTTAGGCGAAACTACATACGAAAATTGCCTCCAAAGGTATCCAAATCTGGATCGATCAAAGTTGATGCATATTTGATCGAATCACCTTAGCCAAATTTTTTAATCGAATGGTTGCATTTAGGGGTGCCTAGCCTCAAAAACGTGTATTTTTGAAAATAATTTTTTACAGGCGCAATTTTGCCAAAAAAATTCTGAAAAAATTACTGATGCTACATTGTAACATAACCGTGGTATCTTATCGATTTGTGAAAAAAATTCTTGATTATTTAATGAAAGTTTCGTAAACTCAAAAATCCACGGTAAATCAGCGTTTTTTGTTTTCTTTTCAGATTCACTAACAAAATCATGAATGCTTCCCCGGGAAACCTCAAAGAATCGGAAATACCGCATTATCATCGATTTTGTCCAGCTTTTGGCATATAAATCTAGAATATAAAGTCAATACCTTTACCTACAAAATGGTGGTAGATTTAATAATTTCCTGAATACATACATTGACATTTAACTTGATAATTCGAATAAATACGTTGAGTTCAGTTTAGAAGATGCTGGACATGGTTGCCTTGGACTTCTTGACACAATAACAGCCGGTCCGTAATTTCGTGTCGAACATTTTCAAACATAGTAACACCGATATTCCTACAAATATTTGTTAGCAGCCGTATATTCAATATTGAAGAAGGTTCAGTTTCGTACACCTTTTGCTTCAAATAGCCCCATTAAAAAAAAGTCTAAAGGTGTCAAATGGGGCCAGCGAGCCGGCCATTCCACAAAACCTCGACGGCCAATCCAACGACCGGGGAAATTGTTATCTAAATAATTCCTAAGTTGTGTGTAGTAGTGTGGTGGAGCAACATCTTGCTGCAATACAATATCTGTATCGAATTCATTACGATTGGCTTCGACGATTTCGATGATTAGAGGGTCAATAGTATTTTAGAGCGTATAAAATACACAATATGAGCTCCCAATATCCCAGGCCAAACGTTGTTTTTTTGTGGATATTGAGTATGAGCTTCCCGGAAGACGTGAGGATTGGTGTCACTCCAATAACGACAATTTTGTCTATGCACATTACCGTTGAGAAAAAATGTACATTTATTACTAAAACAAATATTTTGGATATAGGTAGGATGCCCTGCAATGGTTTCCGTCATAGTCGCGCAGAATTCTGTTCTTTGATCAGGGTCATATTCAGTTAGCTTATGTACCATTTGAATTTTGTATGGGTGATACTTATTTTTTTTTCAAAAGTCTCCATACAGTAGAAGGACAAACCTCACATACATTCGCGATGGACTAAGTAGACTATTGGGGATTTACTATGATCGCACCAATTATTCGAAATTGCTTTTCTTCCGGGATGGTCGGATGACCTGGGAGATTTTTGTTGTTTACACTACCAGTAGCTGTAAATTTAGATACAAGTTCCCTTAAATATTTTTTACAGATAGGACGATTCAGGAAACGATCATTAAAAATCCTTTAAGTCTCGTGAAAGTTACGCGTCGCACCATAAATAAAAATAGCTTCGATTTATTCTTCCAATGGACGAGAGTTGACCATTTTAAAAATAGTTCAACAGTATCTAGCACTAAAACCGAAAACTAAATAAGAACATTTTAAATGTACAATGATGTTTGTTTTCGTACTGATATTCTTGTCACTGTCAATAAAAATAACAAAACAAGTTTTTATCGCTGTTGCTGTGCGTATGGTAGAGATATGCATGTTAGTCGGTTTGTGTTCAAGTAATTATTAAATGTACCACCATTTTGTAGTAGGTAAAGGTATTGACTTTATATTCTAGAGTTATTTTTACTTGATCCGTTCAAAACAACAAAGGATGTTAAAATTTAAATTTGCTTCTGAGAAAATTGCGAAATTAGGAGAAGCCGCGTTTTGGCTGATTTTCTCCAATTGTTCACGCTTTTTGTCCGAAAAGCAATATTTGGTAAATGAAGTACAGAGTACGTGAGTCATGTTTACGTTCTTTCAGGTTTCGTTATGAGAATAATGATTTCTTGTCCGGGGAATCGACAAATACCGAAAAAACACGTTGTCACCGATTTTCCCGATTTGAGACATTTTTAGAGTAGGACATCATGAATTCGCCAACACAATAACACTATTTACGCACATGTGTAGGTAGCCTTTTGAGTTGCCCAAACATTCCTTAACTGACCTAAATTGTCAAAAATTGAAGAAAATCAGCGAAGCCATGGTTTTTTTACAATTTTTCGGACCACGAGTCAGAATCTTGGTACCGGGAAGATACCACAAAAATACACCTGCACATCGGGCCAGCTTACAATATCCTACTCTGAAAATATTAGATATTGAATTTTGGCAATTTCACGTACAAGAAATCATAATTTTTATAATGGAACTGAAAAAAACGTTAAAATTGCATTCATACTGTAGGTTACTGTGTTAGCCGAATATTTCTCTCTTGACCAAAAACGTGAAAAATTGTAGAACATCAGCGAAATTACCGTGTTTTTATATTTTCGCAATTTTCTAGACAGCAAATCACAATTTTTATAATTAAAACTGAAAGAATGCACGATAATACACATGCGTATTGGTGCCAAGCTATGATGTCATACTCCAAAAATACCTAGGACTGGAAAAATCCGTTGATATGCTCGAAATAATTTTAATCTATTGTGTTGTGTTTCTGACATATAGCTGTGTATGTTTTTTACTATTTTTAACGAATGTACCATGGATACAGCTTTCACGAGGCTACTAAGTGTTTCCATCAACCTAACAAATAATAACATTTAGCAACAACCTCACATACTGTTCTCCTGATGATGATGGCATAGTTTATCAAAAGCCCGAGATAATGAGGTAAAGAGAGTCCTCATTGCTTTAACCTTGTCCAAGTATCCAACTAAAGGTTGAACCTTTTCCGACCTGACTGGTTGTTTAGACGACAATGACCACAGCTCCAAACATGTATGTATATATAAATATATCATACATTATGTTAAGTTCTACGCTCCATTTACCTTTATTTTGTGGGTGTATAAAAGCAAAAGTCCTCCAAACCTTGGTGTACACATGGGGTTTCTTGCAGTGAGAGAATTGTCTGGGTGATTTACGACGGCAATGAAGGAGAGCGATATACCCCGCCAGACTCGGAGACTGAGTGATAAGAACCGCGAATCTACCCCATTTGATAGTCAAATAACCGGCGACATGGTGGTGGCTTTTATTATATAACTTTTTGCACACCCCGCTAAGATTTTTCCATGTGTATGGGATGCGAGACAGGGTAGGGCCGGAATTAGAATTCAGGACATGGGCAGAAGGATACTGGAACTGAACTATACTTTAGCGCATATCGTAAATATTTCATTTCTTATTTTAAAATGAGAGATTAGAATGTAACTTTCACGAAAATATCATTTTTTCTTTAAGGAACCCTGTGCTTTTATTTTATAGACCTTCAAAGTTGCATTTTTGGTGGTAATACTCTAGAATAGAATACTGTTTTATACTCTTTTTTTTGCTTTTTGCACAAAAGGATGCTCTAAAGTACATGAATATAACATACAAATTATGGAACCAGCCGATTTACTTCTGCGGTCCTAATACATAGCGGTATTCCAAATCGGTAATGCCCCATTATTGTAAACGTAATAAGCAGTATCTCCGCTTGGGAAAATACATTGACAAAGAAATTTTTGTAATCTCTTCTTTTACACACACTCAGAATATTTTGTTAGAAATAAGTATAAATAAGGTCATTTTATAGCCATTGATTTCATTCATTATCCACGTTCTGTACAATTCTGTAACCAGTCTCT